CTCTCGCTCTGACATCTACATACTCCCATCAAAGTCACTTAGTTAGAAAGTTCAACCATTGAGCAAAATAATTAGAGAACTATAGTAATTATTACGGGTAAATTTTTTGTACAGTCGTTTTCTGTTGTTTTCTGAATGAAAAGAACCTGTCTTGTTAAGATCTTTAGAATTTAAAATTTAAGGTGAATCTTTGTTACAATTCTGTGATATAAAGCCAATGTGGTCAGTCAATGTTGTTTATTAGCTATATTAACTAGCTGTTTTTAAATTTTAGGAAATCCTTTGAGAAAGTCATCATTGGAAACGTTTGAGTTTTGCTGAATATCTATTAAGTGCACATGACCACAGTTGAATATTTAGTATGGAACAAAACCTTTGTCTCGTGGAAAAATGATTTTCAGTATTTCAACTCATCTTCCAGTTTTGTTCTGTCAGGTTCCAACTTGTTAATTATAAGGGATATTATTATGTTTAGCACTTTTTATTATGAGATATAATTTAGCTAAACAATCCTTTATAGGATAAGGTCAATAAAAGAGAGCTGGTCAACGCCAGCTTTGTTCTAAAACTTAATTTATATTTGTGCTATCATGTGACAACCAAGCTTGACATGAAGAGACAAACCATCAAATGCCATCATATCTCAAGTGTGTTTTCCCAAGCACTGTGTAGGTGCTACTCAAAACCTTATGCCCAGGGCAAAGGGGGCGGAGCTTCCCCCTCCCCCCTCCTCCGTTTCTGGCCCTGGCTCGCAGTTTTTTTCAGTTTTTAAAATGGTTTTATTGACGTCAAATTGTTACATTTGGATTTATTTGGGTTCGTGTGCTGTTGCCCGTAGGCCTTACAGTATTTAATAATTTTTAACGAGTGTGAGGGTATGGGGTGGAGCGTTGATGAAGGGGTGATTGGATGGTGTTATGGTTAATGCTTTGATTTAGTGCCCTCTAGCTTACTAAGGCCAGGTCTACCTGTTCGGCGCTCACATTATGTTAATCTTGGTAGATTGCTTTCAGTTTTGAGGATTCCTTATCCTATTCTTTGGTTTGCTAAGTGGTTAGAGGCTTTCAGTTTTCGTCAGGAACCATTTGCCGCCAGCATCATTTCATTAGTGGATTCTTTGCCAGATATCCACTTCAATGTGCGACTAATTTCAAAATATGATGGCTCATGACCACGCAAGAAAATCCCCCTCCCTACGGAGCAGTGATCTAGCCGTGATCTTCCCTTGAGACTCCTACGGCCAATACAAAGACTTCGCTAGTTTTATTTAGATCTGTTCGTCTTAATTTGAGCTCAGCCAATCAACAAACCATAACACAGCACACAACAAAACCCTCCGTGCCCTCCTCTTTCCATTATCTTTCCTCCGCTCCCTCCGTGACACCCCTTCCCTGTTTTACCATCGCAGGAAAGAAGGGTAAGAACGGAACGCCCTTTGTTTCTGAGTAGTCATTAGGTGAGTTTATGAACCAGAATTTCGATGGACGCGAGAACAGCTGAACTTGTCGTTGCAACCGGTATGGAAATTTTGAAATAGTACGGGTAGTAGGAATACGGAAAGTAGAGTAAAGAAAAATATGTTGTCAAACTTTTTTGATACAAATTTTATTTGATTTCTGTCTATCACCTGCATTGACAAAAACTTTGAGGGACAAGTTTTAGAATCAAGCTGTTCTTGGTGCAACGCTTCATAAATTAATTACAAAACAGACATGAACATCTTATTTACAAAATAACAATATACACACATCCGAAATAATTCTTTTCCTCCTCTATTTTTCTATAAACAAATAGCACAGATTTCATCCATCATTCTTTTTGAATTATATACATTCTTTAGATATATTTTACAATTTAGTAAAAATCTGCCTTTTATTATGTTTTTTTAACAGTGTAAAGAAATAGGTTTTATTTTAGTTTAGTCACACATTTTGACTTGACATGCAAGCATTTTAATTCAATCACAATGAACTAACAGCAATCTGGTCCTTACATCAAAGAGATGATTCAAATTCATGCAATGGTGGTTTTAACAATCAGATACACTACACAAGCATGAGGGGAAATTACAAACTGGACAAGACTGAAAGAAACCTCCAATTTTGTTGGATATGAAACAAAAATATAAGAAAACAATGGACAGGAAGCAAATCAATGCTTCCAAAAGACAAATGTTTCCAAAACAGTTTAATAGAGACACATCGTAAGAGAAAAGAACACTGAATATCAAACATATGACATACTGAAATATGAACCAAGTATAAATTCACATAGATGAAAATATTTTCTGCAGCACAACCTAGAATGAGTGATGAATAAGTTTCACAACACAACTTAAAACCAGTTAACAAAGCACACACAATCAATTTTAAACAACAAAAGTATTGACTGTGTAACATTTATGCTCTCTCTATCAGGTAAATACAATATATGCTTCATAAAGAATCACAAAGTAACCCTAGACTTTTCAACCCTTGCCATCACAGTATTCAATCAATATCACATGAACACCAATGACTTGCTTTCTTTCTGGTTTCTGTAGAGTCTACCACGAGAAGTTCTTTTGTATGACTTTCTAATTGTATCTTGCCATGGTCAATGATTTCATCAAAATTGATAGGTAAAGTTTAAAAGTTTTAATCACACCAAAAAGAAAATGGATATACTGGGTCAAACTAGATATCCAAAGAACCTACCTAATAAAGCACACACAAACTCACTCCCTCACATACATACACACATACGCGCAACACACACATAAACACTCAGGCCAAGCTAACATCCCTAATTTACCAAAATAGAAAGTGTTCACATTTACAAGTGTTAACAGCCTTACACAGATGAATAGGAAACGAATACAATGAACCTTGACCTCTGATAAATAAAGAGAAACTTATTACACTACCATCATAAAAGTAAGAAGCAGAAAGAAGTAAAAACTTTCTTCATTCCTTTCTATTATGTTTCTATCACAGTTCCAAAATCTAAAACAGTCCTGTTTTCTGCCAAGATAAACTTGGGGACGCCCCGTTTGTCCGACAAGTTATTTGTCCGACAGCCGCATTTAAGTAAATAAATTAAATAAATAAAGTATTACAACAACAGGGAAAGGGCTCGTTTCACTTGTCCTACGGGTGGAGTTGCGTTTCAAACTTGAATAGATACTAGAAAAAGTAGTTCCTGCAGTAGGGTTCAGTTTCTGGAAGTACAATAAGTTGTAACAGTAAGTAGGAGTTATTACAATAACTTCGAGTTATTCAAAGGCGCGCCCGGCGCCGTTTCCGGGAGGCCTTACGGCTATACTCGGCTCAGCGCTCGGGCCGGGCCGTGGCTTGGTCGCCCGGAAACGGCGCCGGGCGCGCCAGCGAAAGTTATTTGAAAAACTCCGAGTTATTTTAATAACTCCTACTTACTGTAACAACTCATTGTAGTTCCAGAAACTGAACCCTACCGTAGCAACTACTTGTTCTAGTATTTTTTAGCGCTCTTAAAGTTTAAAAAGCAGCTCCGGATGTCGGACAAGTGAAACGAGACCTTTCCCTGTTGTTGTAATACCTCACTTATTTAATTTATTTGCTTAGATACGACTGTCGGACAAATAACTTGTCGGACAAACGGGGCATTCTCATAAACTTTAAGACCTAAAGTAAATGCTGTCTAGATGCACATTTTTTAAAATGAAAGAAGTGTCTTGATAATTGTAGATAAGGTCACTAGAAAATAAACCTTCACACACTACATTAAGAAGTGATATGCGATCACACAAATAAAACAACAAAATTAGTTTGAATTTTGATTGATAAGGTAGATGACATGAATAATACACAGTAGAAGCCTAGACTAGACAGTTATAGCCTAAATAAATATATAAATATAACAAGAAAACCTGGTAGACAGAATGGCCAGATTTCCACTGTGTATTTGGTTATGAATTAGAAATTTTGCTTGGGTAGTTTACATCTCTCTCTCGCTCTGACATCTACATACTCCCATCAAAGTCACTTAGTTAGAAAGTTCAACCATTGAGCAAAATAATTAGAGAACTATAGTAATTATTACAAGGACAACCAGTAAAACTCACATTTTAACTGTTTTAAAAACTTGTGAATGGCCACCGGTGTCAAAAGTAACTTCACAGAAAAATGACTGTCTGGAAGCACTCATACACACAATGGTGGAAAAACCATGTCCAAACGGAGTCTGCTAAAATGTAATACTAATTAAAGTCAAGCTCCGAAACAGTTACTACACACTGCAAGGATCAGGATATCCATTAAAATTCCATGTAAGAATAAAACATGGTCAAAAAATTGACGATTTCAAATTGAAATATAATTATTAACACCCTCCATTTTTTAAAAAAAAGGTTCTGTAAAAGAGGGGTGATTCAGAACACAATAAAATTACAAGAGATAAAAAGTCAGTCTTCCAAATTGGTTTTCTCAACCATTTCATTTCAGGAGATTCAAGTGAAAATGTTTGATAGTTTTGAAATGAAGAATAATAACATCAGCAAAACACAGGTTTCGGATCAAGGAAAGAATTAAGATGGTAACTTGAGAACAGTTATAAACAGAGAAAACTTAAGATGAAAACAGAAGAATTTTCGATTGAGTGAATTTACTTATTAGTAGAACCATCTGCTGTGCTTGATCTTCTTCTTTTTGCTGTTAGCTGTGCAGCTAAAACGGCTGGTTTTTGCTGAAGTTGTTGTGGTTGCTGTGGCTGTTGCTGCAAGGTGTGTAGTTGTTGAAACTGACCCTGTTTTTGTAGCAGATGTAACTGGAAGAATAATAAGTAATATGTAACGCAATCTCAAATATTTCAGATACAAAATTACATGGGTTGGATTGGACTTTGTACTACATCACTTTACCAAAAGTCAAATTCGATAAATACTAACCTGTTGCTGAGAAAATATTACTTGACTGCCTCCTCCCTGAACACCTGCTGTAACTGAAAATACAAAAATATAAAGTAGTAACACACTATTAATAATTAAGCTTTTTCTTTAGTGTTCTGTTAATATACATAAAACATTTGACAGGGTTGCAAATGCTTTTAACTTACGTTGAGGACTACTTATGACAGCAGTTTGCAGCTGCCGGCCAGCAAGTACACTGGCCTTGCCCGCTTGTAAGGCCTGTACAGTTTTACCTCTTTGGAGTGTCAGCTGAATTGCTTGACCGGATGCCTACAATAAAAAAAATAATAATTGGTCAATCAAATAATCAACTGATGAATTAGATACATAATCAATCAATTAATTAATTGATAAAAATAAGGAAATGCACTTTGGAACCATAAAAATTGTTGTTGTTTAGTTTCTAACTTACTTGTTGGAGTTGAATTGAGTTGGCAGTAATCCCTCTTAGACCACTTTGACCACTCACAGTCTTCACTCCACCGGTCATCAATTGAGCTTAGTTAAAAAATTAAAAATTGTATAAGATTTAATTAAACAAAACAATGTACCAAGAAAAGAATGGATTGTTGATGTCTAGAATTTTAGATTCACAATGAAATTGTCCCAAATTATAAAACCCAAGATTATTAAATTAGAATCAGACCATAAAAATTCTTTTCCAAACAAAGAGTTTTTGAAAAAGAGAGTAACTTACCAACAGGTAAAGAAATATTAGGGTTTGTTAGAACCATTGTATGGGGAGCACTAGACACAGCAGTAGCATCACACACAGCTGTTGCGACTCCTCCAGCAGTAACAACCTAGAATGAAAGGAAGGGGGATTTTATAACTGTAATAGACAGTGCTTGGAACACATATGTTACGGTTAAAGTCCGTTAATCGGTTCACGTCGTGGCCGTTTCGCTTGCAATAATAATGGCAATCCTTTTTCACTCACAAATTTTGGCATTGTTTTTTCAAATGCCAATTTTTTGCCTCTTTAAAACATCTTGGGAGTGCCAAAATTTGGCATCCTCTAAATAATTACCAAAATTAGGTATTCAAAGAGGCCAAAAAGACCTAGAAAATTTGCAGTCTCTTAAGTAATGCAAACATTTGGCAGTTGAAAATGAAAGCCAATTTTTAACGAGATACCCAGGCATGTCAATTGGTCAAGTGGGTACTCGGAAGTAAAGATGGAGCCGACCGATCGCCTACTTTACAACCAGAAACTTGACGAAATTTTTTGTGGCAAGCAGGAGGTGATCTCATCCTTTATCAGTGCCAAGAAATATGCGCAAATATGCAAGAAGTGATACTATCTGCTGTCCGACAGCACTCGCTCAAGTTAATGCAGCCCGAGATGCGTGGAAGGCCAGGAAAAGATCAACAGCGGAAGGGAATGCTGAGCAACAGCGCATGCCACGGCGGCACCGCTTGTACCAACAAAAGTGATAACCATAACTCAATAAATGTAATGGATTGTTGCCAGCCTTGCTCCCCTCTCACGCCACTATCCACATTACCCGCCGCCTTCCGGTTAATGTGCACTTCGTCCATATTGCCTCGTTAATGTCAGGTCGGAGTAGCCCTCCCCGCTCACCAGACGACTCTAACATCTAGGGTAAAGTAAACACTATACATTTCTTATAAATTAACTACAAAAAAAGAAGATTTATTTCCAAGACTCACTTGTGGTTGAGTAAATATCACTTGACTTCCACCTGAAAGACTTGCAGTAACTGAAAATAATGATTTCGTAAATATTGAATTGCAAGCTTTGGTATCGCTAGATTTGATAATGTATATTAGAACTTATCAACATACCTGTGTTTGATACTGGTAGTTTTCTCTGCCCACCACTCAACATTGTCGCTTGTAGTGGTCTCCCAGTCAGTACATTAGTTTTACCTGCCTGCATCTGTGGCTTTGCACGCTGTAGTGTACCAACAAGGACACTACCAGTTCCCTTGATAAAGATTTTAATTTTATTAGATTTTTAGGAGGAGAGGATTGAAACATAAATGTAAGTATATGATTAGTGACAAAAACTAACTTGCTGCAGTTGAATGGAATTTGCAGCTATTCCTCGAATGCTGGTCGGACCACTGACTGCCTTTACACTACTGGCCATGATTTGTGCTAGAAGCAGTAGCCAGATCAAATTAATAATATAATTGAGGAGACTGCATTATTAGATGGAAACAAGTCCAGCCACAGAATATTGTAAAAATATATTTTCTTACCAACGGGCACAGAAAGAGAAGAGTTGGTGAGCACCATGGTATGTGGAGCACTAGACACAGCAGAAGTATCACAAACTGCACCTGTTGCCCCTCCTGAGGAAACCACCTGACAAACCAGAAAGGAAAGTGTACAGTGATTTTGCACGATGAAATGTTTTTAAAAGCAATGATACATTTAGCAAAGTGAGGTTTTATTACATATTACCATGCAAATAACTAAAAAACATAATTAAATAAATACCCTTTAAAAACAGTCACTATTAACTTTATCTCTACAAAACTCCTTATTGGAAATATGATAACAGATTAGCATCTATCCAACACCACAATAGAAAATAATGATAGCAGACAGTTCTTAATGTAATATACACAAATGTGTAAACAGGGAAAAGAAAAAAAATGTTTTAAAACTATCCCCTAGTGGCTAAGATATGGAGTGGAAATAAAAAGGGAAACTCTGAAGATTTCAATGAAAAAGTATTGAAGCTGAAGCAATGATCAGCGACAGAAACTACTACAATGCTGTTTTTTTTTAGAAAAGAAAAAGTAGATTGCTCAACACTTTCTGTGGAAAGTCCACAACTGTAGACACACCAGAAAGTGTCCAACTAAGTGCCATGACTCCACAATGTAGACAATACGAATATTTGCAAATATTTGACCCAGGTTCATAGGTCCACGAATGTGGAGCCATTGCATGGAAGTATTAAACTCAAACATTGAAATATTTTTTGACAGAAAAGAATACTACTATGCAATGTTACTCAAATTTTAAAAATGTTCACAAACACTAAAAAGAATTGTTTTAAGAGCATGAAAAATTAGGAATCAGAACCAGACACATGCAAAAATGTTAAGGAAGAGAAGTGCAGGCAGTTTATGGAGGTGGATCACAACACATGCAAAGGATTGTATAAGTGCCTTGCACTCACAGTAGCAGATGCGATGTGTGGCGTTGCACTCGAAACACTCAAAGACAAGGATATTGGCGTGGAAATGCCAGGGAAGGAAACCTGATATGACATGGGCAAACCATTACTAGCAGATAAAAAGATAGGATAAAGAGCAAGTCAGCTAGTCTGAGCTTGAAACAACAGCTTTTTTTTTCTATTATTAATTGCTTAAAAAGTGATGAGTATTAAAACTTATTTCCCATATCATACATATTTCCTTTAACCAAACAAATGTATGGAATATACTGGATTAAAGGATTTCAAAGAAGGATGAAGGTGAAGATACCGGAGGTACTAGAAATGTTAGATGCTATGGGTCAGGTGTTGCCTACAAGTCTCACAAAATAAAAGGGGCTGTCCCACTACACTCATCCACTGTAACTTTACTTCACAGTTTAGGGAAAAGGATGATGTAGCTCATGAAAAAAAAAAAAAAAATTTACAAGTATTATTTTGGCAGTGAATAGGGGAAACTTGCAACCTAAAAAGGTTTAGATTAGATTATGACATTTCTGGAGGGTTAATATAGCAAACTTGCTCAAAAACCGGTCATAATGGAATTCACAGATGTCCAAGGGTTTCATGTTTGATGAGAAAATGATATAAAAGGAATGAAGGCCATGAGCAGGAGGCAACATGGTAATGCAAACTGTGAGCAACTCTGCAAGCGAACATTTCCCATACCCTGCTTGTCAGTTAATGATACTGACCTGTACATTTTGAAGTCCTGGGAGTCCAATAGCACCTTGAAGACTAGCTAAGTTGAGACCCTGTAGATTAACACCCGATACAGTCAAGCCTTGTCCAGATTGAGTTGGTTGACTAGGTGGACTTGACAGGGGCGAGGCAATTGCCACAGCAGGTGATTTTGGAGTTAAAGGTGAAGCTGCAGGTGAATTTGCAGGCAAACTTGGTGTTGCCGGTGGTTTGGAAGGTGAGGGTACAGCAAACTGAAGCGGAGGTGGAGTGGGCTGTCCAATAGAGCTTGCAACAACTGTAGTTGCCGCTGAACTTGCAGATAACCTCTCCAATAATGTTGAACACGACAGAGAATTTGAGGAACCAGGCATAGGATTGTCAGCAGATGGAGTCCCTGGGTTAAAAGTAGTAATGATAATGTCTTACATAGAATATGTAACAGTCCTAAGACCTGTAAAAGACACAGTCCCATGATACATACCTGCTAGCAATGCAGACAGGGCTGACATTCCGTGTGTGCTGGAAGAACTTTCACTATTGCTGGTACTTGCAACTGAGGCACTAGCTGAGAGTCTCCTGATAGCCGCACTGGCAGTTCCACTAGCTAAAATACGGCCTAATAAATTTGGTCCACTTGTACTGGTGCCACCCAAGGTGACAGTGTTTGACGATACAGGTACGGTTTTAGAGGTAACAGGCACAGTTGTAAAACTTGAGGTATTATTAAAATCAAAACTATTCTGAACAGTGAGAGTATTGCTGCTGGCATCGAATGAGTTCATTTCTGGAAATGAAATCTGGTAACTAGGAGCTGAGCCAGTTTGTTGGTGCAAAAACTCTTCTACCGCAGATGCATTTTCTATTGTTGAATTAGGTACAGGTCGTTCAAAGCTAGAAGCTACTTGATTTGGCATATCACTTGAGACAGGAGTAGCTGATTCTTCTACATTGGGAACTCTTATTTCAAAATTTGGCAATGATCCAGCAGTTGAAACTGCTATTTCATAATTTGATACTAGATTATTAGTACCCTCAGATACAAGAGCACTTTCTACAAAACTTTGAAGGTCAAAGTTTGTTGTAGTATTATTAAGAGTGGTAGAAGTCGATGAACTAGGTGATGTAAGAGTATTTACAGTGGCAGCAGAGTTGAAATTTGAAGCACTTATAGAATTGAAATTGTTCACAGCTGCATTAAAGTTGCTTGGTGTGATGTCAAAAAGTGGAACTGCTGCACCGGTCCCACTATTTACAGAGGAGGCTTGGGTAACTAGGCTTGGATCACGGTCTAACACATCAAATTGTGCAGGAACTGCCACATTCACATTTACGGTTCCGCTTCCAGAGGCATTTGGTACTTCAACTTCAAAACTTGGCAGCATTGAGCTCACTGGCTGCTGTGCAACTTGCTCCTGGGCAGGTTGGACAAGGCCAACACGGTTTGGTGAAGAGAAGCGAATTTGCGGCGACGACGTCAGAGAATGTTGTAGTAACGATCCATCAGTTGCTGGTGGTGAGGCTAACTGGGCAGCAAGGGCAGATATTGACACCCTCTGCTGCTGCTGCACTTGCTGTTGTTGTTGTTGTTGTTGCTGCTGCTGTTGTTGCTGCTGTTGTTGCTGCTGCTGTTGTTGTTGCTGCAATATTTTCTGTTGCAAGTGTTGTTGCTGAGATGGAGTAAGCACCTTGGAGTTCAGTAGATTTGTTAAGGTCATCTTGCGAACTTTTTGACCTCCTCCACTAGGGGTGTTGTTCAATAAGCCAAGGAGGGTATTAGGGCTTGCTTTGGTTGAATTAATGGCAACAGGGGGATTTGCAGCACCTGTAAAAATGGAAAATTTAAATTCTAGTTATTATTTAAGTTTTAAGGAGAAGAGTTACAAAACAAACTGGGGCTTTACCAGATTGTTGGAGTTGCTGTTGGAGTTGTTGCTGTTGCTGTTGAAGTTGTTGCTGCTGAAACTGCTGGGCAGAGTTCATAAGGCTAGTGGCTAAGGCATCTATTTCTGGGTTCGTAATAGTACGTCCGCCAACTTTGGTTGGATTTTCTAACTGAGATCTCAATTGCGTTGGGGGTGAAGGTTGATGGGTTGGTTGTCTTTGAAGCTGTGCTGTTTGTTGAGGTGGTTGAGATTGATGTTGTAAAGGTGGCTTAACTTGGCTTAATTGTGGTTGTGAACTATCAACTATGGGAGCTTGCAACTGAACCTGAAATAGAACAAAAATGATTTAAAATTAATGCGTCCTTCTAGACAGAAGTCTAATTTAAGATAATCACGTGGTTCCTTCAATTATATCCAACAGAATCATGCCAAAGTATACATACTGCTGGTTGCACTGGTTGCACTGGTTGAACTGGCTGTTGACTGTTCACTGCAGGGGATAATCCTGCTGTTAATGTTGAGTTTAGGATGTTTGTGAAATTATTTGTCATGGGAGGAGATGAAAGAGCATTCACAAGATTCACATTGCTTGAAGACGCACTGAGAGGATTTGTACTTGAAGTCAGGTTGGTGCCGGGAGTCACTTCTCCAGCATTATTGGCAATATTATTTACACTGGTATTAATTGAACTATTTGGAGCTGCTGGACTCCTGGCATTTGGAGGATTTGTAGTACTTGTGACTGCAGCCAGAGTGCTGCGTGCTAAAGCCTTAGCCTGGGCCTGGGCTTTAGCATCCCTCTCTCTCATGCCCGGTGTGCAAGTTATACGAGGTTGATGACCTGGCACAAGATGAGTTATCTTTACTGATTTCCGACCCTCTTCTGTAAAAATCTCACTGAATTGTTGGATATAATGACTGGCTTGTAATCTAGATCCCAGTGGAAACCTATCAAAAGTAAAATAAAATCACACGAGTTTCATTGATGACTGACTGAGGGAACAAATTGGCCGACAAGCATTATAAAATTACTATCTTAAAGAGCAATTACCTGCAGGTGCGCCCATTTTTCTCTCCATCTCTAAAATCTTTGTCAACATATAATTCACCAATATACTCCAAATTAGACACTCTTTGAAATAATGAGATCTTGATATGGTATGTTTGGCCTAAAACAGTTATCAGAAATTATTGAAACAGGTCCCCTTAAGAAGTGAACATTCCAGTTACTTTAAACTCACCTGTTCCTCTGTCAGCCTCCAGCACATACTCTTCAATAAGCTGTGGTGTGCAGTCAGCTGTTTCAAGTGGCCAGGGCACTTCTCTAGCAAACTTTTCAACATCCACACTACCTTCAGGTGGCGGCTCAAGTGGTGGCAATTTGAGCTCCAAAGGTATCTTTGGTACTTCTAGTGAAACATTTTCCACATGCTAAAGAATAAAAACAGTTTATTTTTAAATATTTTGGTACATTCTACTGCATCCCAAAACATTCACCTCTATCAGTAAATATGCATCACAAAACTGCAAGCGAGCTACATACCTTTTTATGCAATCTTGATTGGAAAGAAGAGCTGCTAGCATTTTTACCTCTGTGTCTATTTATTGCATCAAGTAATGATAATTGTGGATGAGAGGTAAACTGGTCCAATTTTCTCTTCCGATTAACAGAAACCTAGCAAGAAAGCAGAATACGAAAAAGAAAATACAGGTGACCAAGTTAAAATCTAATTTATCATAATGTGAAAGTAGCAGCCTGGTCTTAAAAAATCACACCTGTGAAAATTTGCGAGCACATCTTCTTAATGGCTCCGTTGATAACACATTTTTTTGATGGTTAGCTGACGAGTGAAAAAGAACAAGAGATGGTCTAGGATCAAGACACAAGGGTCCTTGGGTGGCAAGAACAAGCTCTGCCTCAAGTAAAAGTTTTTCTTCATTGCTAAGATCACTTTGAGCTGCCAGCAGATTCACATCACTTATCACACTCTGGAAAAGAGATTGACATAATATTTGTTTGAGTTTTAAGATACGACCATTTTTGCAGAACTGTAAGAACATTACATCATACCTGTGTTGTGGGCTGAAGTAATACATGGTAAGTATTGCAGGAATAATTTGGAAATGACTGTCTGTAATCCCGTACTTCTGCTATAATACATCCTGAATAAAAGACTTCTGGGTAAGTTTCTTCAAGAAGGTCGACAAGCATAAAAGGCAGTTCACCATTATCCAAATAACTAAGAAAAGTGTCCATTTGGTAGGGCCATCTTACAGTCTCAGTAATAGCATCACTATGACCTAAAAAAATGATATAATGATATATAATTATACATAAGTAATTTTTTCGCGTAAAAATTAAAATTCACTCAATTCTTGGGAACAGCAGTAAGAGCAATTTTACCTGGCTGACGCATTGCAAGGGAATAGCCTTTATTCCCAGGATACAGGTTTACTATGAGGGTATTGAGTTTGTCTTTAGCCACAAGCTTTTCAAGAAGATGTGAGGATGATTTAAGGTCCTGTGAATGAGAAGTTAGGCAGGCACATTTTGAAATTTGTTTTAGTTATATAGCATAAAAGAATGGAAATATTTCAATCACAAACCGGTAATGGTAGAGAGTTCTTTTTAGTACACTCCTCGTAATAAAGCCGCCTGAGACGGTTATGAATGGAAAAATAACCATATCCATTTTTCTTTTGTTGCAAAAATGGAATTGAAGTTGGATGTCTTCTGACCAATTTCATCAAATGCTGGAGAAGTAGACATGCATTGTAATGAAGCTAATGATAGAACAGTACAAGAGGAAAAGGCAGCATGTTTAACTTACATCAGCTTCCTCACAAGCATCCTCCAGACTCTGCATCGTCAATGCTCTGAAGTTTCTGCATTCAGATTCAGGTGATTAAGCCAGGGTGGAAGTGGAACTAGTCACTCCAGTTCATATTCGCACTTCACTGAAAACAAGGAGTGCAGATTAGTGTCATGTTCTAAACAATCAATAATAAGGCTAATAGTAATAGGGTGATATGTACAACTGTTCAGTAATTCAGGGTAAAAACTACTTCAACAAGAATAATGCTCTTAAGAAGCAAATGAAACATTCAGGAAGTAGCTACTTTGACATCCACACTCATCATTCAAAGAATACTCTTACATAACCTCAAAGAGCATGTTGATAAAATGTCTAAAAGAAAACTGTAGCCACTAATACAAATCTTTCCTGAAATTATAAGTTTCTGAGAAGAGAGATCTGTCCTTAGCTAAATATTTAACATAACTGTAAACATAACATGGACCTGGTAACCTAACCTTGAGAAATCAATGTAGGACATAAAGAGGATAAGTGAATTAGACCGTACTAAACTGTAAATGTGATGATAGCGGCAGTATTTTTGTTGACAACACACATAGTCACACACCGATACAAAACCAGACTCATTCAATAACGAGAAAGAATGAAATGTGTGGCAAATAACCTGAATGCAACTAGAACACAGTAAAGTCAGTTTCTCACGCAGTGACACTCGAGGTTTAATTTTATGCTCACTATAAAGGATGCATACCTTTACGTGGAGTATTCTGCACACGTTCTGAATATAACATCTCACTAATATCAGCACGACAAGTTTGTTGATACAACACTTTAAGATCAAAACAAGTACATGAAAGCAAAAGTTTACGTTCCTACATCACTGCTGGTTGGATGCAGTACTCACCAGGGACAGCCAACCGTGGCAGGGGGGAATTTCTCTTCTATTTGTGCATTTGGTACCTCTGTTTTGCTTTATGACTATCACTTTGACAAAACTCAAATAAAACTGGACAAAATTGGAGAACTGAAAATAGTTTTTAATTTTGGGTAGCACGTTTTTATCTTTTTCTTGACAAAATAATGTTATTCCACGAAAGAAACTATTTTTTGTTTAGGTGGCTAAAGTGGTACTCTAGGTTACGAGGCTACTCGCGCCGTATTTTGTAGTCAGCTGACAGACTTCTTTGTTGCGAACAGCAGAGCTGGCGAAGGCGTTAACTATGGTTATAAACCGAAAAACATTAGCTGCATTTCTTTTTAAAGTTTGCCTCGACTTGTAAGGGTTACGTAGTTATTGCTTCATTCAAATTTGAAGAAAAATAAAGTTTACAATGTTCGTTGCAAATTCTCATATGGAACGTCTATAGCCTCAAGCCCACATTGCAGTTCAATAATTCTGCAATAATGTTGTTGAGAGCTTTCATTGACAGTCAACAGTGGTGGAAATGTTGGAGAGTGTTGATGTGGAGACCCCCACTGTCTTTATGCCACAGTTTTCAAAATTTTAGTCATCGAATTTAAGTTGTCACGATTCTAGTTGGAAAAATTTTAGCATCCTGTTGCGTCAAACGAAAGGACTGCATGGAATACACGTCGTGTCAATCTCATTATGGAAAAGGGGAAGAGCGTCTCTGATCCCCACGACCAAGTTCGTATACTTCAAGAAAAAGTTCGTGAATTGGAACTGCAACTTAGTAAAAAGTCGTCAACATCATCTAGAAATGGCATTAGTGAAACATCGAACTCGTCAAACACTGTAGAAACGGAGGAAGATGAAGGACTGGTGCCCGTTTATGATGTGGATCTATCACCTAAAACTTGGTAAGGTTACACCTCTTCAATTCTGTTGACAATAAATTTAACCCGAATCTTTTCATAACGCGTCTCTCACACTTTATCCACCAAATTTACCACTCTTCACACCCATTTGTTGATGATTCATGACTATGTTTTACGCTAGGCAGATCACACTATTGTCAGAAGAATATGCCCCATTCATTGTTACATTTAAGGCGTCATTTATTTTCTTGATAATCAAAGTTGTAAAATGGCTGTAGTGAAACCAGTGGAACTGCAATGAATTTCTCTACACATTTTCTTGACCATTAGAGTCATGCTGAACTAAGTATTCATAAATAATGCTTAATTTGATTCAAATGTTATGCTCAATGTTCCTGCTAACGATTTTGAGGAAATCAAAATATTGTTGTTGCAGAGACCCCCTTCTGTATGAAATGTTGGTGTTCCCGCCTAATAAACAGAACATATTCATGGTAGTATGATTCATGTTTAACAAATTTCATCAACCATCAAAGAAAAGTTTCCTATGCAACAATTTTGAGACAACTAGAGCTCTTACTTTCCAAGCTCATGGCAGTAATTAATAACTCACAATATTTTTTTTTTGTTTTCACTCCTCTTGTTTTAATGGAGATACAAAACAATGGTCACAATATGTTTTTTGTATTAAATTTGTGGGATAGTTCATTCCTCTTGGTTATTCATATCTCTATGGTTGCAGCGCGGTATCTGCTCAATCTGTTCTCACAGATTCGTACTAGTAGTCCTCACTTCCGTTAGTGGTGCTGCCCGGCTCAGTGTGAGACTGTGGGGTCCCTAGAATCCCTCTGTGGGCTCCTGCATTCCCCCGTCAGTGCGAGAAAGATAGAAAAAGGGCGCGGGGGCGTGTTTTCTGACATGCCTCGCGGGGTAGGAGGTCACTGTCCCGCCGCCACGCCGGGCTGGTCGGGCCGACCACAGCGCGAGGTGCGAGTGGGTGGACCGGTCGGCGAGGCGCTGCCGCCGTCGCCTTGCCCCAAAAGTTTGTTTGTCTTCAACTTAGTAACTTTGCCAGTCCTTTAAATTTTGGAAAAGTGGGGTATGGGGGGGGGGGGGGTAGAAAAACTAATGAAACTGTTTCATTTATCACAACTCCCATCCAATGAGCCTGTTCGAAATTTCGCTTTATGTTGTACTTGACGTTCAATGTGGATATGGGTTGTGAAGAAAGTGGGTCATGCTATATCGTTGTGGCCTTATCCGCCACCCCATTCATTTGCTGGTCTGGGGCGCATTTCAACAAATTTTTGCCATAGTGTACGGGTTGCTCAATCTGGTTTGCTGAACATCGCCCGTGAAAGTATACGGGAGGGGAAAAAAGGGGGGGGGAGTCCGGGTTCTTCCCCTCAATCGGATTTCATACATTCAAAATGCATTTTTGTTTTCGAACTTTTTACCCACATACAGCTATTGTGAAAGCTATTGTCTTTCTGTCTCAGGCTTGTGAGTAGCCGCGTCGACTCGCGCACGGAGAAGGAGCTCTTCTCCGCGCTCCTGTCAGACGGGCCTCTGCTGGAAAAGACGCTGTACTCTGCCATACGCAACGCCGAGCAAGGTGAGTTTCGCCCGAGTCACGGGAGTGTAGCCCTTCCCGTCCGCGTCCTTAATGGGATAGGGGGCGGGGGAAGTCCGCTCTATGTGGGCTTGGGGGGGGGGGGGTCATACCTCGCCCGCGGCCCTTCCCTGCCACCTGTTTACTTCCCCCCGTGCCACCCACAGGAGTCCTGTCTCCCTCGGATGAGAGCAGGCCGCTGTTTCCTCTTCTTCTAGTCTCGGGAGATCGAAGGGCGCGCCAGTAGGCGCCTTGCCTGCTGCAGGTTCCCGTCCTGGCGCCCGCCCGCCCACACAGCCCCGTCCCCCCCCTGAGGTCCCCTCCTGAGGTGGGTCAGAGGAGAGGGGCTCTTCACCCCCGAGAGACGGAGTTATTTCCGCCCGACAACCCTTTTGGGTGCCTGCCCTCCCAGCGTTCGGCTGGGGATGCAAGTGCAAGCATTGCAAGCGCAGCGAAACGCGGCCCGCGGCGGGCCGGGAGCATCTATATTTACTTGGTGGCGGCGCCGGGCGGTCGGGCAGCGTGATGGGAGGGATTCCCTTTAGCCGTTAGCTAAGCAGCTAAACACTGCTACGCTGCACTGACCCAGGTCCAGCTGGACTGGGGCCCGCCCAATACGTGCCCTGCCCTGCGGGACCTAAGGCTGCGGCGCGATGCCGTCACTATTACTATTATGTCTTCTATACTTTGCTTGTCACAACACTTATATGCTGCCACCTGTTTTTAGGTCCTAGGCCCTCCCCTAGGAAAAGACGGTTACGGTAAACATGAACATGTGTAAGTCCTTCTTGGATATCAGTCCTACTAAGATCAACAACGGTATGGGGAAGCGACAGACGGAAATAATACATCTAATGTTGGTTTCTCACACATTGAATCATTGCATGCTGGGGCCTCAGGTACTAAAATTCTTACTTTGAAAACCCCAAATCTAATTTAAACACACACATTCTTAGTTCTTTCATAGGGAATGAAAAACTTGCCCTTTTAGCAAGTGAGGTGATTACTTTCAGCATTCATTGTTTCAAATTTTGGTGGCTAAGATCATTCTAGCCCTGGCCTTTACCCAATGCATGAACAAAAGAAGTCCATGACTGGTCTGTCATCATTTTGCCGTAAATCCCTTAAAGTGCTATTATGTATACACACTTGTTCTGACATGCCAACACAGTTTAAAAGTCAGAATATTTTTTTCTGGTATTATATATCTATAATAATCCTTTTAACCCTCACTATTCTCCAGGTTCGAGGCTGCTGCTTGCATAAACTACTTATAGATTGAAATGCAATGTAGCCTGTATTGTGTAAATTATATTTTTCTTTGACATCTGTGATTACAGAACGAAGAAATAACATTGACACGCGAACATTTACAAGACCGAAGAAAAGATTGGGGCGGCCAAGTCTTGAGCTGTTGGACTCCCTGGCTTGTTTATCTAAACCATCTGATTCAGGATTATCGTGGGCTAAGGATGCAAACTGTACTGAACTAGACAATATGACGTGCTCTTTACTAGAGACCTCTCTCATTAATTCTATGTATAGTGCTGATGCATCTACAGCTAGTGACATTACATCTCACTTTTCTGTAGTTAATAAAAAGCAAAAAGTGGCCCCACAACTGGAAAGAAGAAGAGTGAGTATTTATCTCATATACTCCATACACTAATGGACTAAGTGTGCAACTGCTCAACACTTGTAAGTGTTCAACTGAAGGGTTAATTCTTGCTAGTGTTCAACTCGGTAAGTGTGCATTCGTCAGTGTGCAACTCCTCTGTTGAGCACTTTCTACACAGTGAGCGTTCAATGTAAGGAAGTGTTCAACAGAGAAGTTTCACACTTTGCAAATGCACACATACCGAGCTGAACACTTGCAAGTGCACAACTATGGAGTTGCACACTTGTAAGTATTCGACTTGCAGTTGGCACACTTAGCTTATCAATGTACCTCCTCCTACTGTTCTATGATATTAATTTATTAATTTTTAATCAATATTTCATCTTTTCCAGGGAAGCCTAGTTATTTCAGAAAATGAATCTGCACCTGAGGATACAAAACCAAATTTCAAGCATGACAATGGAAACTGTTTAACCAATCACATTGGAAATGCCAACTTTGCTAATTTAGATGTTGGGTCCACCAAAAATGATAGCAAGAATGAAATTGATGATGATGAGGTGAGTAAACATTGTTTTTAAACTATTTTTTCTTTTTTCATCACCCTATTTCTTCACTGCCATTTGTTTTTGTATTTTAGGAAATGGACACAACTCTTTTGGAATCAGCAGACTTCACTACAAGCTTAATTGATAGTGCCTTGATGGATCCCAACCTTATGGACGCTGTTCTTATAAATTCTAAACCAAAATTGAGTACATCAAGAATTCATCAACTCAATAGAACTTTCACTCCATCCCCTCCAACTGTAGATCACTTATCTAGAAAGGTTAGTTATTACCAATCTACTACCAATCTAAATTGGTAGTCAAACCCAGATATAGCGTTGCACCTCGGCTAAGCGGGAAAACGCTGTAAACGAGTTGATTTGCATGGAAATTTAATTTTGGTTCTTTGAAATCGCGACGTTATAAGCGGGAAAGCGCTGTAAAGGAGTTGATTTGCATGGAAAATTGAATTTGGTTCTTGGAAATCGCGACGTTATAAGCGGGTAAACGCTATAATAGGGTTTGACTGGTAGTACTTTCTCAATTCATAAATGTCAAAGTATCAACTGGTTGTTAACTATTTGTTTAACTATTTTTTAAAGGCTTCGAGTGAGACTCTGGAACTAAACCAATCTCTCAATAATTTAAATGAAACTTTTGTGAAAGAAGATGAAGAGAGTCCTGGTAACAAAGTTCTTAATACTACATTTCCAGTAGAGGCAAATGGGTCTGGTAGTCAGAGAACTGTTCCCCCTCTAGTAAGACCTGGATCAACTGACAGTGGAGGTGCAGATGACGATCAGCTTAGTAGCACTTCTGAATCCAGCCATACATCAACCACTCGATTGATGAGTGTAGGAGACGTGCAGCACATTGCTAGACTGCAAGAGCAAAGTAAGTTTGAACCTTTGTAGGAAATATTAAACCAATTACTTCAGATGAATATGTTTGATGTTAAGTGTAAATGAATTTTTGAATTGATTCATATTTTAGGCCTTGTTATGTCAACTCCTTCGCAACGTCACATTGCCAAATGTATGTATGCTGTCTTGTTCTTCCCTATGTTTCTCTAAAAACTTAAGATCATCTGAAAATATTATCTCTTATTTGCTTGCAGTAATTGAATATGGTGAAGATAATATATCTCCTATATTACGAGCTCCTGACTGGAGTAGATCAAGTGGTGGCTCTGAAATACCAAATGGAGGTTATTTATCTGACCACTCATCCCGCAGTCCACTTAGCTCTCTTCATTCAAGTCCTGCTGGCAGTCCTTTTGGCTCTAGTACAGTGCTACATGGATCAACCCAAGTCCAAGGTAGATCTGATAAACTGAAACTTTACGTGGTTACTATTCTCTGTCTTTTGGAGTATGTATTGATGGATGACTTATGCATTGATTCTAGACTCTAGACTGCAATATAGACCAAACGGTGTTCTGCAGAGGAAAAACACCTATGGTCTGATACCTCCAAGAAAATTAAAGGTGTGCTGCCTTTTACTACATATATATATTTGAATTTGCGCTTTTAAATTTGTGTTGCTGATAACCTGACGACCCCCTTTTCTGTATCTTAGGAAGAAGGCCTCCGTCCTCCTGCCCCAGTCACAGTTTCAGCTAAAGTTTCAACCAATACTGCAAGACCCACAGCCCGTTCAGGACTTCGCCCTCCTATGATTCGGACCGGTGCTTCAGGCTCATCAGGCTTACCTCGACCGTCAGGAACAGGAATACCCCGCCCATCCTCTTTATCTAGAATACCTCCACCCAAAGTCCGGTGCAGTATCCCTTTTTCTTAACCGTGTTTTTGTTTTCTTAAAATTTGTTTGATTTACTAATTGATTTATTTTTACATTGCAGATCTTCTTCTCAAGTTCCACGGAAGGAGTGGACAGATGAATGCTACTAGAGTTGCTATGTAGGTGTTCTACAGACTGTGCCAAACACATTCAAAATCAAACCATCCTAACCTCGTATAAATGAAAATTGGAAACAAAATATTTGGTTGCCTGGCTTGTACCTAGTCCAAGTGATGTTAGATGTTCATAGATTTATTTTGTTGTACCATGTTTTCTGTCAGTTGTAGATCAGAAATTTTAGTTTAAGTTTTAAGATGTCTATTTTTCTTGTACTACAAATCGATTTTAGATAAATAGTATCATTGTATGCTTTTCCTAACTGCAATTTCATGTTAGTACGTGCTTGAGTTGTTTGTAGCAAAAGTTATCTTTTACGTAAATGGAGCTTTATTTACAGCTATTTTTGTATAGCTGTTATGAAAGAAAACCAGCCCAAACTTCTTGTCATGGGTGTCAATGAGCCACGGTATGTGGACAGGGTATTTATTAATTGAGACTGTATTGTAAAATCAAATTTAACTATTTAATCAGGAACCATTTTACCATTGTACTTTTGTGCTTAACATTTCCCCTCTGAATAAATTTTGATTGTCCCTGTACCAGTGCTGTTTTTGCACCTATTGCCTTAAATAAAAAAGTTGTGGTATTAGGATACAGTAGATTTTTCATAACAATATACTAATTATTTTCTGAAATTCTTGAGAAAATAAAACTGAATGAATACATCAATATTGTTATGGTCGCTTTTTGAAAATTCCAGTGTTATAAGCCCAAGAAAATTGAAGGATTCTCTGTGGATGCTTTCTGTGCTATGTCTACCTAATTAAGTCTAATATCTAATACTCATTGAGAATGTGCATTGTTAAAGTACATGCACTCTATGTATCTCTGCACTTGTGATGGGAAAATGTGAGGCGTCTTGAAACCAAAGACCTCTGCATGTGTGCATTTGTGTGATAAATGGTTTTTTTTTGTTGTGTTATGTGTACCAGAATTATGAAAACAGACCTTCATATTTTCTTGAGAATTTGTGTTGTAAAATATAATGTGTCTATGTTGTCAGTGCTATCCTCATTATCAACTTTTTTTGAAACTTCTGAATAATATGGTTCCTATCAAAACTGTAGACGCAATAATTTATTTTTATTATTCATTGACTACAAATAATTCTGTGATCAATGAAATACACACTTCTGTGTGATCACTTGGGATGAAATTTTGTACAGACTATTACTTTGATCCACTTATGTAATTTTTTAAAGCTTATTCTATTGGGACCAAAATGAGTGTTTTGATAAAGGTGCTAGTAGGTGAATAGCAGCACCAAAGTATTAATCTTTGTGTTGAATGTTGTTGAATACAAAGAAGCATGCTCTAGTTCCTCTTTTTCCGAGAGTTTTCGTATGTTTCAAGGTACCTCTGATTATCTTTTGATAACTTTTGTTTCGACAGAAAAATTTGGTTATTCTTTCATAGCTATGGTTTTCATTTGATTGACCTTGCTGCTTTTCCTCTCCTAAGACTGATAAAATATTCTGTGAATGGTAATGGTATGATGAAAGTCAGTAGATTATGTTGGCCTGGGAAATCAAAAAAAAATATTAAAAAAAGGGAAAAAGGAAAAAAAAAATGAAACGAAAGGGGAGGGGGAGGTATTTTATTTGCCTCTTCTTCAATCAGTTGTTTTACCTACATCAGCTTTCTTTCTAACTAACATGGTATTTGTGTGTGTGGTGCAGGTATATACTCCGAGCATCATACTTAAAGAATGTGCTATTGCAGGCACTTCACCAATTAAACAAAATAAAAACGAACTGTGTAAAATGTTTTTAACATTTAGCACTGTTTCATCTGGCTCAATAAATCCTAATAACCTCTCTTACCTTGTAGTTCTGAATTTTTCCTATCATTTTTAATAACTTCCACCTAGATTGAACAGAAGGGCAAAGCAAATAACTGATACAAACACGAGTTTAGGCTGTATCACCTTAAGAGAAATAACAGATAACAGATAACAAATAACAGATGAGAGATCTATCTTATTCAGGTTTCTCTTGCTCTCTGTCGTTTCAAAAATATTTCAATGCACATATTTTGCAATAAATGCTACTTTAGTCGAATAAACCATGATCAAACAGCATAAATTACCTTCCTGAAATGGATCTGTTATCTGTTATGTGTTATTTCTCTTAAGGTGATACAGCCCTAATTGAGCCCTTGGAATTCCTATCGCCAAACCAATACGGTTTCAGAAGAAATACAAACTCAACCTATGCGGCGCTTGACATTGTTGTTAGAATTCAGGACACCCTTGACAATAACCAAATAGCCTCTGAGCTATTTATTGATCTCGCAAAAGCCTTTGATATGGTGGACCACTCATTACTCCTTCAAAAACTTCAAAAAATAGGTTTTACATCAACTGGCTTAAAATGGATGAGAAGTTATCTACAAGATCGAAAACAGTACATCCAAATTGGTGAGGAAGCAAGTAAAATCCTGCTAATAAAGTATTGTGTTCCCCCAAGAGGGTTCCCCAAGGGTCAATATTAGGACCCCTTCTTTTCATCATTTTTATAAATGACTCAACAAAACTCAAACTTCATAGGGACATCACTTTATTTGCTGATGACAAATCTTTTCTTTTTTTGTGCTTCCGAAGAGAAACTAATTCAAAAAATGAAGTCTGACTCGCAAAAACTTATGCAAGGGATGGAAAAAAAACAACATTTTATTCATGAATCTAGAAAAGACAAACTATATCACTTTCAAAAAGCCAGCACTTCACCTTCAAAATTCTACAGTATTCCAAATTGATAAATTTACAATAAAAAAGAAAAGACAGCTACCTTCCTTGGCCTAACTCTAAATTGGGAAGCACATATAAAAAACCTCTGCCAAAAAATTGCACCCTTGGTGGGAGTAGCAAATAAGCTCAGAAAGATCCTTAACAGGCAAAGTAAAAAAATCAATCTCCTCCGGCCTCATTCAATCAAGACTAGCCTACATGAATGCACTTTGAGGGTCAGCAACCGCAAGCCGACTCTATCCATTGAAACTGCTGCAGAGAAGAGCCATAAAATCGCTCTTTGGATTTGACCTATTAATGGATACCACATTTCTGCATAGGGAAGCCCAACTACTGCCACTGCAAGACCTAATAAAACTCTCCCAGGCCACAATGTACCACTCTATCATCAGAGGCTACGAACAGTGCAGTGCCAGTTTCAAACAAAACAGCAGTCAGTATGGGTACGAGACAAGAATAAGAGAGGACATCCAAATTAAAACTGCTAAATCTACATCCGACGGGGTCAAAAGTGCTAGAAACGAAAAAGCTCACAGCTACAACTCACTCCCCAAAAACCTGAATGATATTGTCTCCAAAGACCCCTTTAAAAAAGAAATCAAAAAATTTCTTCATGACCAGCTATAGTAAGATTTTACAACAACAAAAAAATCACTTTCTCAAATGTATTATGTATTTAAGGCACCAAAGCTATACAAAACTGCCACAAAGTTTCTGCACGAGTCTGATAAATCGCCAAATCACCATGTTGAAATGTAACACCCCCATGTATGGAGCTCTTGGGGCATGTATGAAGAAATTTACTAAAATAGATAAATTAGGTTCGGACAAACGAGCTTCGGACAATCGGGGCGCCTCCTGCACGAGTCTGATAAATCGCCAAATCACCATGTTGAAATGTAACACCCCCATGTATGGAGCTCTTGGGGCATGTATGAAGAAAATAAATAGAATAGATAGAATTGAAATTGGATGAGGGTCGCTCAGGTAGCAGAAGTACATGAAAAATGCATTTTGTCTCTCACTTAAGACCTGGGTTAATGGCAAACAAAATTCAGTTTCCTTGAGTTTGCTGCCTGGGTGCTTTTGTGCTAACCCGCCAGCCAGTGAAAATGCATAACTGACAATGATGAGCCCAGAGGCAAAAACTATGGAGATGTGAAAATATGCTGTGTATTGTCTGCACCTATTGAGTGTGGGCAAAGATGTTCTTCCAACACAATTGTTTTAAAATTTATTTATTTTATTTATTGATCTGTGATGGCAATCAAAGTCATGTCACAAACAAACTCAAAAGAGTTGGTAATCATACCATTAGCCAATTTGAGCAAAGTGTTACACTGGACAACACACTTCCATCACAAATTGTATTGCTTTAGGTCAATCTGCTCATTAAGCATACATTCTATCTCATCTTAGACCAGCTAAGAATTTCATTCTTAGCAGAGCTATACTTGATTTCAGTTTTAGAAATAATTCATCGTAAGAACCAGATTCTTTAAACTTACAGTTTACTTAAGTTGCAGTTTAGCAATATTTTTTTTTTTTAAATCAGCCCAAAAGATACAAGCATGATTGTCATTACTTTAAGCTTTGAACCTCCTACATACTAGAGAAGAAAACACAGGTGACTTAACCTTGCAATTAATCTTAACAAAACAAATTAATTGGTGATTTTGTTTGAAAGTGGCAAGAACAGCAAGTTTAATTTCAACTATTGCCCTGATGAATTGATGTTAATAATGAATGATCTGGGAATCTTTTAAAGGTTATTTGATTTGCTCTGTGTCATATTAATTAAACGATGTGTTTACCAGTCTTCCAATGATATGTGATCAGCAGCCTCAGCAATATTATACAGCTTGGAAAAAAAATTGAAGAGCATTGATGGCAAAACAAAAGCAAAGCGTGTCCAATGACAACAATGTTGCAACATAGTATTTTCAAGAATGAAACTGATGACTCAACTCCAAGCTGTTGAAACTCATGTCAAAGGCAGAACAAAGAAACATGAAAATAGATAACAAATACATAAATACAAATATATAGATAAATAGAACAAATGTTGGGACCAAAATATCAGAATTAACAAAATTGATGATTTTCTTTGAACAACAAGAACAGTACGGTAAATGACCAAAAGTAAAAGTCACATTTATATCAGCAGGCACAATGATGAGTACTGTGTAGGAAAAACACTCATGTCCACAAACCGTCATGGAGTAACAAAGAACATAAATACTGTTCTTCTAAACACAAATTGAGCAAATTGAATGAACTAGGCCTTGCAAGAAGCACAAATATGTGCTCCAACTTCTGTAAGAAAGTGATTGGAAACCTTAACATAATAAACCTTAATAAAATAAAAGTCAATTTAAGACAGAAGGATCCAATTTTTTTAGGTCCATCAAATGAACAAGCTCATTTTCTGTAGCTATCATTACAATAGGCCTGAAATTAAGTCTTTGGCATATGGAATCCGTTAACATCAAGAAGCATGGGGCTTCCAAGTTTTAACTATAGGCATTTTGATCAAGATAGCAATTTAAAATGCACACAATGTTTTGACTTAGTTTTGACTTGGTGTTTTCACACAAGTTTCATCTACATACAGACATTTACAAATCGCATTACTATTTCTAAATCTTGTGCACAGACAAAACAAGCTGTGATATGTTGAAACTCTCCTAACTACTGACTTTCTCAAGCTACTTCAGAATTTCTTAAACTTGTAGAGTTGATATAACAATAACATACACTGTAAAAAACAATGAAACCACTTTCTTTTTTGGAATTAAGGTCAGCCTTAGAGCAAAGCATTGTCACAAAATAAACCGCCGAACAACTATGAGTAAGACAATATACAAGAAGAACCTCATTTGCTGTCAACTAGAGAAACAAAAATGTAGGAAATAAAGTAGGTCATACATCTAAGCTTTAACAGCAGGTAGATTTAGGCTTTAGATTTGTAAAGAAGATAGACATTTGAATGTAGATAAATACCAACACACTGAGAGTGAGAGGCATTATTGAATGAAAACGTACTAAAGGCTTATAACATTGATTTCTAAAAGCTTGACAATTTTACTGAATCTAGCAACTTTTACACAAAACACTTTGCAAACATCTTTTTGAGATGTAGTCACAGAAAAAAATAATACCGGATCTACAAAGTTCTTAATAGACCTGTAAACAAATTTAAGTAATAAAGGCACCTTGAAAATATTTAGGTAGCGCAAAGTAAATTGTGTGTAACACACTTCACTTAAACAGCACAAGAAAAAAATCTAGACTAGACAACATTTGTGGTGAAATACAGTATTGGCTACACATTTTGTATACCCAACTGCAAAATCTCAAAAAATTATTTGTAATTGGTTTTAGCACCAGTTGTTCCTAATCCATTAAACATATGCACTGAAATGTATATGATATCGGACAGAGAAACAAAAAGAGCATGAGCCAAAAAATCTTTCCAAATTCGCTTGCGAGCGTTTAGTTTGAGCATCAAGATAAACCATTACTGGGTTACAAATTTGTGTTTATAAGATTGCTTGGCACATGCTACATTGTTCCTATGTTTAATGTCACATGCATTTCAGTGCATATGTTTTATGCATTGTTAGAACATCTAAGAGAACATGAAGAGACCCCCCCCCCCCCCTTCATTTTTCCCTCCCAAGTTTTCCAAGTTTTTTACATTTGCCAAAAATCCTAAAGAAGTACCTCATAGGATGTTTATTGTGGCAACTATAGGCCAAACAGTGCATGACACATACATTTAAAGAACACTTAACTAGAAGAAAAATGGCACAATCTAAAGAAAACAAACACAACAATCAACATCATATCACAAAACATTTCACAGCCAAGAGAGGCTTTACATTTAAATTAACAATGTACTGAGGTTGTCTACATTGTAAATGACACTAGCAATCTACTGGATTATTTCATCACTTTAATCTAATTAATCAACAGCCAGACCAGCATTACTCAAGCCTGCATTACCATAATATTCCAAAATTAATTCTCATTTGCAAATGAGTTACAAAGTAAAGAAGGCATACACTAGGAGCTTCATAAATTGTTGTAGAATAGGAAGGAACTAGCTAGAATTGAACTGTTTGTAGTAGAAATAAATACCATAAGAAATATTTTCATGCAGATACTAGTCTTAACAGCAGCATGTTTTCCAATGAGAAGAACTCATCTAAAATACTGTTAAGGGTAATAATACGGCCTTGTTCAACATTAAATTTACAAAATTATTCAAGACAGAAAAAACAAGAAAAATGTATTCATCCACACGGATCACTGAACATTGGACAAAATAAAAACAGGTTGTAAATTAGAATCAATGCAAGGAATGTAGTTACAGGGTGTAAGTTTGATAAACCAATCAGATCAGAAATAAGTAGCCTACTCAGCATAAATATGATCACAGAAAAGATAGCACACACAGCAGTGCATTGATATGGACACAACCCTAGGATTTTCTTTTTCCAGAATTCAATGAACATACCACGCATTTCTGAAAAGTTGAACTAGAGTAACATATGCCAATTAATGGTAAACAGGCAGTGAACATGATGAACACTGATGACTGTAATGTTATAGAATGAAAACTTGACAAGTATCCAAAGAAATGTTTTCTTAGAAAAATGTGATCACTAAATGTCAATGAAATCTTCAATGAGGCAATGAATCTGTGAAGCTCTCCAACTCTAGATCTCTTAAAATGTCAAGTGACGAATGTCCACTCTCCCACCTCCTTGCAAAGAATGCTGATGCCTGCTCCCAGCAATGTCGGTTTTTTAATGTAGATTGAAGCAGGCAGTCTGCCTCAGGAAAGAGTTGTGCAAGAATTCTGAAAATTTCATTCAGGGTTTGGAATACAGTTTGAAATACAGACTTGCCAATCAAATGTATCTTAGGTTTGAGTTTCATAAAACAACAACTTACTTGAAAACAGGACATACAATATGAGAGAGAAACTGAATCTGCAGATCAGGAATTCTTGCTTTCTCTCGATCCATCATTTCTAAAGGTGCATTGCCCATTGCTTTTTCTAGGTCCCCTTGAGAAAAGAACTCTTGGTATACCAAATCCTGTAATATTGGGTCATGTCAAATTTCTCAAAATTCTAGGTGGTGATATAGCTACTGTAACACCTATTAATTAACAGATCAAAAACTGCACCCAAATTGTAAAACTTACGGCAGTCGTCCTTGATAATTTCCAATCTTTGGTTTGGTCACTTAAGTCAGAACAGGTCATGAGGAGAAAGAGGAGAAGTTGCTTGTGTTGATTATTGCTAAAATCAAATCCCTCAGTTGCCATTTTCTCCTGGTCTTGGACCAGCCGTATATGATGAGCCAAGTCTGTTGCTATAAAATAGACTGGGGTCAGTACATTTTTTTTAATGGCCCTCAAAAACAATAGGTAGCTTCTTTTTTTTTACCTAATATTAGGTCTCGAATCAAATCCAAGCAGCGGCTGTACTGTTCACTGGTAAGTCCATCAAATATATTGCATCCATCAGTATTCAGAATGCACAAGGCTTGTGCCAAGTGATGACGCTATAAAGAATTGAGTCCCAGATTATCAATTGAGTTTTATGTACAAATTTATCAAGCTTAAATTGTACTTTACCTCCATTACGGAACCCTCCGAACTATATAAGCTTGCTAGCTCAGTGCCTGATTGCATCTGAAAAGAGTTAGTTGTGCCTCTATGGTCCAAATCATGGCAAAGACAAGATACCATCAAGGCCAAAGCTTCTAATGAACTGAAACAAAAGAAATTATGAAGTATTTTTCAGGTTGAATGAATTTCATTCTAAATAAAGAACTGAGATACTTACGAAATATAACCCTTTTCAACAAGGCGAAGATTTTTTATAACAAGATAGGAAAAATGAAAGACTGAGAAAGCATGATACCAGTTATGATATGGTGCGTCACGGTAGCCTTTCTTGACAAAGAGTAGAAATCTAATGGAAACATGGGAGGTGGAGATGATGCATAATCCAAAATTATTTTAAATGCTTTACAAAGCTTCGCAAGCAGTAAAGCACAAATATATTTGAGTTTACCAGTTGGAAGACATAGATTACACTACCATTCAATGCGCATACCTTGCAAGAGTATCCTTTTTCAACTGCCACTGTTGAACCATGCCAAGATCATCAAACATCATCAAGCAGTAACAAATGCACTCTGATTCCTCAACTTTGCGGGGTGAAAAATAAAATAGGTCGATTTCTGGCATTAAATCATGCCCTAGTCCACAGTTAAGAATTTTTGTGACATCATCAGGGTGAACCTAGAATTTGAAAAAAATAAATAAATCATGAGATGGTCAATAAGTTAACCTTGGTTACGTGGTTCTACAAGGAATTGATTAGATCAATTGATACTAACATCGTAGGAAAATGCATTTGAGAAATTGTTCATTATTATATGAAGCAATTTTCATCTAACAAAAATTGTTAAGTCATTTGACTGTTTTACAGTTTAGCGATAAAGGAATATATAGTAAGAAACAAATTTAATATAATTAGAAAAGAAATAAGAATAAAGAGCACATCACAGGTTAACATGAGGTCAAACCTGGACAAATTGTTACAGTACAATGAAGACCATTACAACAACAATCAAGACGTTTGCTTGGCAACAATGAGGGAAAAATTGACTTCAAAAAAATAAGAAAATACATGAAAGCATGAACAAATATTACCTTCATGTGGTATATCATCATTTCATTTGCTAGTTTACTTCGGGCCTGTGCATCTTGTATCTTTTTGTAAACCAAGCTATGCATGATACTAATTCCGCAGTAGATGCTAAAAGCTATAGCAGCCTGAAAAAGTCAATAAAAAGTTTTTAAAACTTTATTTTAGGAAGATGCAAAACACAGAAAACAGAGCTTCAATAATTTCATAACATCATACAAACCTCCTCATCATAAACATCAAAGTACAGACCACCGATTTTGTTACAAAGTTGAGCAACACCAATAATACCACTTTCATCCCGAATAGGGAAACTTAAAATGCATCTGAAATGTAGATGGTGAAAAATTTATTCTCTTTTAAATAAGACTACATTACATGTATGGGGAATGAAAGAAACCTGTACCTTGTTTTAAATCCTGTTGCCTCATCAACACCTTTGTAAAACAAAGGATGCTCATAGGCATTGCGTATATTTAATACCTGTCCTGTTGACATTACATGTCCAGCAATACCTTTATCCTTAGCAATTCTTACTTCCTAAAAAAAAATAAAAGGTTGAGAAACCTGTGCAGAAAGAGAAGGAAATTGGCCGTAAAATTGGATAGAAAAACAATTGATTACCTCTGCTGCAGGTACACCATCAAAGACTTTGGCGACAAGCTCCTGGCTTTCTTGGTCTAGTAAAAATATTGAACACCTTTCGGCTAAAGTCAACTTTTTAGCCTCAAGCATAATTTCACGGCATAGGTCGGTGAATTCACCTAAAAATTCACAGGTTTAATTAATTACTTCTGAAGCATTATGAAGGTACAAATTCTTTAATAACTTTTATTACGGTAGTATTATCTGTTTTTTACCTAAATGTGACACCAACTTCCGTGCTATAATCAAAAGGTTTTGACACTGAACTTTAAGACGCATTTCACCCTCATAAGCCAAAGTGTTGAGTACAGTGCCAATGCAATACCTATAAAAATTTTATGGTATAAGGTCCTGGTTGTGAATGATTTAAAGGCTTGAGTAAGCAAAATATACAAACCGAAAGCATTCTGTGACAACATTAGAGCAATATTCTTCAGAGTTTTCATACTGTGGATAATCAACCAAACATGCTACAACACAGATATTGTCTTCGGATGGGTGCCAAATAGGCACAACCAAAAACTGCTCCGGCAAAGGGTTTATCACATGGCGAAGACTAGCATGAAGCTCAGGATCCAAATCACAAGCATCTGCTGAAAGGGATGTTCTTCTCTGCACAACTGCATGTAAGCAATTGTTGGTCATCTGTAGTAACAATTAAAGAGTTAGAGGGAAAATATCAATACTATTATGAATGGCCAATGAGGTATACTGCATAAATTTATAAACTTGCAAATGCTTACTGGAAATCTCATCTCTTTTTCAAGCACTCTATCACCAATCACTTGCACAACAGCTTCCTCCCTTTCTTTGAGGAGTTGCACAAGAAACACTAATTGAGCTTCACATTTTTTCCGGAGCTGAAAAATGCGAAATGGCCTGTTTGAAAAATTCTCAGTTCACTGTTGGAAGGATAAGTTGGACATGAAGTAACTTACGTAGTTATTCACTTTTATTTGGATGGCTGAGGCGCTTCGGTCAAAAAGATTTGCACAAAGAGCAAGTAGCTCTTGTGGGTTGGTTGGTTCAAATGTTTTTTTTGATGACATGGTGGTTTTTAGTAATAGGACAAAAGTGAAATATGTCAAATCTTAATAACCGATCAAACCATTCATCCTTTCCAGAATGTATTGTCCCATCATCTTTGTCGTTGAAATGTTATCAAAAGAAGCCGATGAAAGCATTTTAAAAAATAAATCATTCCTGGAAAAAAAAAGAGGAGTATATGAGCAAGTGTTTTGAAACTTCACATTTGACAATAATATGTAACAAACTAAGGTGAGAGGGTTTCTCTCGCATATGATTGACAAGTTCAAAGGTTATGGAATATGCAGGTAAACAAATACTCAAACTATCACAACAAAGCATAATCATATCCAACTAAAGTTTATTTACTAGAACAGTCATTTAAAAACCTCACTTTTCTTGGAATTTTGAGTGACTTCAGAAAACAGGTTATAATATCACAAATACTAAAGACCATTTCAAAATTGAAAAATAAAATCAAGTAAAAGTTTGAAAAGGGGAAAGCAACAGGACTATTGCAGGAAATATCATTGTATCGAGGTGTGCAACAAGTTATAATTAAAGGACATATAATTCATGTACACATTCCTTCAGCAGACAAAAGAAACGGCTTCTGCTGATATCAATATAAACGAATCGCTTGTTTTAAAAGAAGACAGTTTATCTTGCCTACGAATTGTTGGAGATAAAAATCCTACAGCACCAGCACAAAGGACAGGTTCGAAATTTCGAAATTTCAATGGGACTCTTGAGAAACGTTTCCTGCTTGCGTCCCTCCCGCGCAGGGGGCGAGTTGAGTAGTAGTGTCGTGTCGTCTGCTTCGAGCAGCCCGCATCCCCCTCCCCCTTCCACCATCCACCCTCCACTCCTCCACCGCCTCCACCCTGCCCCCTCTCCTCCGGGTCTCTCTCTATCTCTCTCCCTCTCCCGGCCAGTTTCTCTTTCCATCTCACCCCCTTCCAGCCCATGAACTCGAACCGTCGTATCATCCCCAACTTCGACCGCGCGCATCAGGGTGCGGTGGTGGCGGTGGAGGGGGGGGGGGGCTCTACGCGCAGGGGCGGCTTCTTCACCCCCTCAGCCGCCTACCCCCTCCCAGCTCTCGCGTATGTATTCCTCCCACTCCATTTACACCTCCGCTCCATTTTCTCTCAGCCTCTCCGCCGCCACCGCCCCTCGGCTCGGCTGCCCGCCCTCGGCGGCGCCCTCCTAGAGTCCCCAGCCTTTAAAATCTCTGCATAATTTCAGACAGATGAAATATTAATTTTTCTCCCAGAATACCGAGATAGTGGTCGCTGTGCGGATTGGGGCGGCGCATGGGGCGAGTTTAGGACAAAACTGGGGAGGGGGGGGGGCAGTTTTATTTCGCGTCGGTAAATTTTTACGTATTTTTTTCTTTTTCTGATTACCAACTAAGACAATATAATGTTGCTGGTAGAGCGGGGGCACGGCGACTTTG